TAACAAATTCAACATGCTAACATTGTTTAAGTATATAGCCTATACAACTTTAAACAGACTCAATGCATTCGTAAAAAGATTACACATGCTCAATATGTAAAAATGCATAAAAGTATATTGCAATACTCGAATGATAACGTACATTTAAAAAATCCGCAGACTCGATACTCGTTTAACTAGGATTTTTGATATCCGACGTCTGCTCGAAACCCGAGGATTTAAACTGTTAACAAGATTAACTGATGCATGAGTTCATAGATTTCCATAATGATGATTTTAATAGATACGAATAACAACGTCAGATGGTCTGAAGCGTGCATTTATGAAACGTTTTAATCGTAGGTATGTCTTTGACACGCCTCGACGATATTTCCTTGACAGCCATTAGTTTCAGCTTTTCTTCATGCAAATTACACAGTTTGGTGACGACAAATATGTTAAACTGCTGTGTACGTAACAATATCATCAACGATTAATTTTTTTCAATTCATGCACGGTCGATCGAATAAATTTTCCGGAGGGTAATACACCTGAGGAAATCCCATCCGACGACGGAAGTCGACCAAATTGTTAAATGCGAAACACGACGATAAGTCGGTTCGAGAATTAACTCTGCGCGGAAGGACGCAATTTCTCGAGTCGGTACGCGACTCCTAAATTGCCTTTTCGTTTTAATTCCGGCCAATCTCGCAGGTAAGAAGCCCGGGAAGTGAAATTCGAAATCTCGGGGTCATTTTCCACGAACTAAATGCCAATTAGGTTGACCGGTTAACGCGGTATTGCAGCCGGAGTGCATTACTTGATGCATCCCCGTCGCAGCTGTGAAATGACGCCTGACCATGTTATCTTGACTATGGACCGCGATGGAGTCGCAGAGCGTTCAAGTAAAAATCCTGAAAAACGCAAACAATATCTACCGATTTATAACATAACGTGATGTACAATAAACGACAAACCACATTGAATTGTACGAACTATGAAAACATATTTTATTAAAAGAATTACTGAGTGCACGATTAAAATCTTTTCCCTATAAATGTTCACGGTGTACAAACTCGAATTCGCGCGTAACTTGGAACCCGCTCTTTGCAAGTCTAATAACAACTCTTACAAGCTCTTCGACGACGATGAAGACGGCGACGCTATTAGCCCCAGTTCTATCGAGTCTCCCGTAGGAATACGATTAGGGCCAGCTATCAGCGATACGGGGGCTCTTCAAAAGCGGCTGCTAACTCAGTTAAGAGGAGAGCAGGGCGCGCCATTAGTACCGGCAAGATCGGTCGCTAATTTCCAATTACCTTAATTAATTATAATTTCCCATTCGGGCCGGCCTTTGATCATGGACGCCCGCGACGCCTCTGCCTGCTGTCATCACATCACCCATACGCGATCCATTATGTCGCGTCCCATGATTTTTCGTCGCGTGTTCCTCGCGCAGATTTACAAATTTTCCCCATTATCGTTTTCCCATTATCTTCTCAGCTAAATCTCTTTGCGCGAAACTCAAGAATTTCGCGTGTCGTATATCCAATGGAAATTAAAGTTGCAGATCGATGATTAGATGTAAAAAATTAATTATCGAGTCAGAATCTGATATAGTGTTCCATGTATAGTTAGATTGCTGCAGCGGTCTCGGTTGATATTCAGAGATAATGGCACAGCCACGCTTCGTTTAACGATTAAGATTTCAATGATTCATGGATCGAATGGCAGGTGTAGTTCCTGCTGTAAATTCATATATTCAGTTGCGTATAAATACACTATTAATCATATATTTCGTGGCTAATTCCTTCTGGTGCAGTAACAGTAATGAGATTATGCAACATTTTGCATTTTTATGCGATACCGTGACTCACGCATTTTACGTTCTATACGATACTATATTCCTTATAAATTTTCTTTATAATACTTATTCGCCTTCTGCTTATATTGTTTGATCAACGGTACGTTACGGAAAATGTTCCCTCGTGAAATCAATAATGAAGTTATTCTTTTATGCGGGAAGAATAAATTTCAATTGTATTCGTGTGACCGTTCCGAGGTCCGAGGAATTCTATAAAACTGATTAACTGTTCTCACGGGTATGGATATAATTCAGATTAAAATTAATTCGCGAAAATTTGTTAGATGCATGGAAGTACCAGACGGTGAAGACGGTCAAAGGATGAAAATTAACCGGAAACGTTATTCACAGCCGGAAATTTGTTCGTGACGTACGGAATAAGTCCTTCGTATAGATGAAAGCGTCACCAGGGGAATACGAAAGATGTTCGATATTTGTTTTCTATTATATTTTATTTAGATAAATTTGTCCATCATCGAGAGATAATAATTTATCCCATATATTTTATATATTTTATATATATATATTTCGAGTTCTAAGCACTGTACATGCTATCCATATTTAAAATACTGGCTGGTACACGATTGTGTCATACGTATGCAAATAATGAATTGAATATCCAAACAGCAGCACGACGTATCAATGAAAATGAGGAAAAAGAAGCTGGTCAATCGTATGGTTCACGGAATATTTCCTGGTCCCTCTGGTAGATTTTAAAAAATTTATTGGTGAAGAAAAAAATTAATCACGGTAATCGAAAAGAAGAAGGAAATGTTCTTTCGTAATGCGATTACGTCTCCGTGGCTACGAGCAGAATTTATTGGGAAAAATGTGCGCGGAGAGACGTGCTATCAGTATTTAAAGCTTATTGTTAGACTGCAGCTCCTATAGGCATTTTTAATTCTAAATATATTTATTGCAATGCGAACTGAGACGCCAGTGATTTAAATTATATAGAAATTTATGAATAAAATGAGTTGTTCGATGATACATGAAACTTTCAGCGATTTTTTCTTATTTCAAGTTTTGATCATTCGTTGTAAAAGTTTTAATTCATTTCACAACGAGTGGCACACGAATATTTACGACGGTTGCGCTTGTTTAATCGTTCGATAAATAAGCTTTATCAGAATCACCATTTTAGCCATCGCCTTGCTACATTTTCGAAAGTTCGCTATCCAATTACGCACCTAAAAGCGCCTTGCTAGCACCGGTGCTCTAAATATTCTGCAATTCAGTTATGCAGCTAACACGATGATGCGAGTGGCTCGTACGTAAAATCACTTTTTTCCTCTTCTCTGGCTCTTCATATCGGCCTCTTGTCACACGGCAGATGTCATCAAGGATGATAAGAATCCGCATTTGCTTCCAGCGGTGACCGTAAATAAATTGAACCACGTCCCATTATTATCAAAGGTGTTAACACAATTTTTCAATAAATGAAATCCTTCGAACGGTCAAGCTACGTGAATATAAAAAAAAACGAGTGTATCACTTTTCGTACTATATTTTTAATCGTGATGAACGTCTCCATTTTTTTTAAAAAGGTTAATGAATTTATGTTCGTAGGAGCCTTTCTGGTTCCGTATTGTATAATGCTGGTGGTAGGAGGGATTCCATTGTTTTACATGGAGCTCGCCCTGGGTCAGTTCAATCGAAAGGGTGCGATCACTTGTTGGGGTCGACTAGTGCCACTTTTAAAAGGTAATCATTTATATATTTAAATTCATCATCCCGTTCCAATCAGATGTTCCTTAATGTCATATCCTATTTTTAAGAGGTCGAAGAATATTTGAAAATGTTCTTCGAATTTCGAACACTCTCCTCTTTCAAATGCACCGTGGAGGTAATGGCACCACTGCCGCACAATTATCTTCCCGATTGACTCTCGTGGACGGTTCTGAAAAACGTTTCGAAGCACTTTACCGCGACATATTTTCTTTCCCTCCATCCTATATCGTGCATTATGTAACGCGTATAAATCCGGGGAAATCCGAGGGATGGAAGAGGGCCACTCGGGAAGAGCATCTATTTCCGTCGATTTCCTAGATCGCTGCGATTTCCACTAGCGATGATCGATGGACTCGCAGAAACTCCTCTTCCTCCGCCTCTCCCTTCTGATCCGCATCGATGAACGACGTAATTGAAGACACAACTCCCGCGGGATAATGGAATATCTTACGGTACAGGAATCAGGAAGTAAGACGCGTCCTCGGAGACTTTTAATCCCTTTGAAACCGGGCCAGAATCAGAATCACTGTTTGAAGAATATGAGACGAACTCGATGGATTTTCTAGGGATTGGTTTTGAATAAAACAAATCAGGCTTTTCCTTATGTTCAATCTATAGGTATCGGATACGCGGTGGTTCTGATCGCGTTCTACGTCGACTTCTACTACAACGTGATCATCGCCTGGGCACTGCGATACTTCTTCGCCTCGTTCTCCAGCCTCCTGCCTTGGACCACTTGCGACAACCCGTGGAACACGCCACTGTGTCGCGCTTTCGACGCGAATATATCTTACACGTTCGCCGATATCTACGGTGAACCGCTCGACTTCGATGAATCCACCAACTCATCCCTGATCGAAGAGCCGGACAGTCAAGGCTACAATAACACGTGGCACACCAGTGCTGCCCAGGAATATTTTAAGTGAGTCTGAATACCTTTCGAAGACGAAAATTAATTGGCGAATAGGTGTTTATGCAAATTATTTTTAATTGAAAGTCGAGCCATTTTGGAAATTCACGAAAGCGCGGGCATACACGATCTCGGGACAATTAAATGGGATATCGCGCTCTGCCTATTGGTCGTCTATATCATATGTTACTTCTCTTTATGGAAAGGCATTTCCACTTCCGGCAAGGTAAAATTGATTACCTATAATTCTTCATCTTTTCAATGTAATCTCTCTGCGTGAGAGGAAGACGCACGGAGACTTTTCACTTAAATTTTTACGAAGCGACGTTTGTTATAGGTAGTTTGGTTCACGGCTCTATTTCCTTATGCCGTTTTGTTAATTCTACTCATACGCGGCGTCACGTTGCCGGGGAGCCTGGAAGGAATACGCTACTATCTGAGTCCGAATTTCTCTGCCATCACGAAAGCAGAGGTACACGCCCGACCGTTATTCCAATTGAAATTCAACGAGAAAAATATCCTATCATCAATCCCGCGGTAATCTCTTCAACTTCGAGAAAATGAATAATTCCTCGCAACTCTTTTCGTGCCATTACGACCGCTTTCACTTTCGCGTGGCCCGTCGTGCGTTTATTGTCCACTCGGGTACGGTGAATCGGTGTTTCCAGCAGATGAACTCGGCGTTATGAAGTGACCACTTACGGCAGTCCATGGCGGGGAATAAAAAAATCTGAAGGCCCGGGGGAAGTTAATGTACCGGGCGTGAGAGGGGTCGCCGCGAGAAAAATGCGAGAGCGCGAGACGTGCCCGGGTTTAACCGACGACGCTGAAAATGGAAACTCTGTGTACCTGTCATAATGACTGTTAGAGTTCGGACCCCGGAATCGCACGTCCGACCTTACTCGCCGCAATGCATTTCTTCATCGCTCAAATACATTTTTTATACAGCTACCCTGGGGATTCGTTGATTTCGTAAATCCAAGGATCTACGGTCAATCCTTACCACCGATAAATTCCTCGACATAAAGTAAAACATTTATCCACTCAGAGAACGAAACGTTTCACGAATATTTTCGTATTCAACGATTTCAGATTCAGATTTCTCGATTTCAAACTGTCATTAAGGACTCGTAATTCCTATGTAGGTCTGGGTAGATGCTGCGACGCAAGTGTTTTTCTCTCTCGGCCCCGGTTTCGGAGTGCTCCTTGCCTACGCGAGTTATAACAAATATCATAACAACGTTTACAAGTAAGCGTCGTACAATTTACAGGTACCGGTTGAAAATTGTGTTAAACTAGAAAATACATTAAAAAATATCTATTTTTGCTTTATGTATTTTCTAGGGACGCTTTATTAACGAGCGTGATTAACAGCGCAACGTCGTTCGTCGCTGGTTTTGTCATTTTTTCTGTATTAGGGTACATGGCTAAAGCCAGTGGAAAGTCTATCCAGGATGTTGCGACCGAAGGACCCGGTCTGGTGTTTATTGTGTACCCTGCTGCTATCGCTACCATGCCCGGATCGATGTTCTGGGCACTCATCTTCTTCATGATGTTGCTTACATTAGGACTGGACAGCTCGGTACTTCAATTGAACACTTCGAAAACGGAACCATAAACGTTCGGACGTTCATCGATTTTTCCTATTAATACTTTTTATTAATTTTCTCTTGTAGTTCGGAGGGTCGGAAGCGATAATAACCGCGCTTAGCGACGAGTTCCCAATTATCGGGAACAACCGTGAAATTTTCGTCGCTATGCTTTTCACGTTGTACTTCGTCGTCGGTTTAGCTTCGTGTTCACAGGTAAAACGATGATCAACCGCGGTACTTAATTAATACGATAACTCGCGTTCGGTACATTAGCCAGACTTTACGTTTATATGCAGGGCGGCTTTTACTTTTTCCATCTGCTGGATCGATACGCGGCCGGTTATTCGATGCTGTTCGCAGTTTTAGCGGAATCGATCGCCATCAGTTGGATTTACGGAACGGACAGATTTTGCGCAGATATTAAGGACATGATCGGATTCTCGCCCGGTATCTATTGGAGGGTCTGCTGGAAATTCGTCGCGCCGATGTTTCTCATGGTACACGCGCCACGCGTCCGTTGTAGTGCGATTTCGAAATTATTATTTCATTCGTGTAAATCGTTACAGTTCATTATAGTCTACGGTCTGATGGGCTACGAGCCGTTGACTTACGAGGACTACGTCTACCCGGTGTGGGCAAACGTGTTAGGCTGGTTAATTGCGACTTCCTCAATTGCGATGATACCCGGCGTCGCAATTTACAAGATCGCCGTCACGCCCGGCAATTTCATTCAGGTAATATGCGTCTTAAAGGAATTCCCTCGATCGTGCCACTTCTGCGCACGAATTGCGCCGGGACATGCTCGATCTAAAACTCGTCTGTATAAGCTTGATTTGGCAAATCGTAGAGATTGAAGATTCTGACGACTCCCTGGAGGGATACGCAGCAAAGGAACGTTGATCTGTCTTCGGTGGCGAACGGGGCGGTTCGCCGGAGCTTCATCGGTGACCAGGATTTGAACCTGACGAAGGAGCAGCAGGAGCTGACTAAGGAACAGACGGAAGTGATGATTCCATCCAGAGAGAGTGTCAACAGAGAGCCGCCACCGGAGCCGGTCTAGGACAGTGCGGTTGTGATTTTGCACGGTGCCCGATTCCAAGTATACCTTTGCTAATGGTCCATCGGAACGTCTCGCGAAGAGCCACGGGCGAGGAACGCACCCACTTAGATTTAACGGTAACAATTACCCTCCCTCCCCCTGACGATTCGGTGCCATTCGAACCACGAGGCTTCGTAGTAAGATCGTAGCGAGATCGTTGAGGGACGTATAGTAATCGATCGTTTCTTTCAAAGACGAATTAATCGCACAAAAATGTTATGTATATAAACTTTTACCCGCAGACTAATTTCCGCAACGATACATGTTCATTTACGATTGTTCAAGCGTTTCGAGGGAACACGTCGCAAAACGGTCCAACCTGTAAATATTCCAATCATTATGGAATTTCCTACGTGATTTGCGAATCGTTATTCCAGCGAACAAGGGAATTTTCTTGGTCAACAGCTTTAACGTTCGATGAAACTGAATGTTCTATCGATTAGAAATGTTTCATTGGGAACGGAGACGAGAGAGATTTAGTCGTTACGACGTGGACGCGTTCAATCCATAGAATAAAATATAACTATAGCCGATTAAATTATAGCGATAATAGCGATACTTCTCGTCTGGCTCAGAGGCATCGAGCACATGTTTGTAAAATATACCTACTCTCCTCGTGGAGTTGAAAATCTTATTATTACTAAAAGGAAAAACACAAAAAAAAAGATATCACAACCGAATGTCTCCGTTTGATTTTCCAAAAACTCTTACAGTCTGACTCGGTCAGACGTAATATGCTGTGTAGACTATACGCGACTCGTAACCACCGATCAGGTGTAAAATACTATGATATTTAAAAAATAGGGAATTGCAAGCGGTATGTTATCGAGGTGACGCTCGACCGTAAAGCCGACCACGCTTTAATTATTAAGAAGCTCGTAACGCTGACTACAATGAAGAAAGCATTCGGCATTGAAGCTGTTCAAAGTTGTTTATTCATAATTTTCTCTGATGTTACGTTCCTTCATTCTGTACATCCGTTGACAGTATTACAAACGGAAACGAAGTATTAAAATGCAATAACTTAACGGTACAACTACTTAACATTCCTACTTGTGTTTCTTTAAGGAATCGCGATTGAAGAAATTTATAAATAACCATTGATTTCTAAAATCCGTAATTGTTTGGCTCCGTAATTGTAAGAATCGACGATGTCCTAAATACAAGTTAAGTAGATGTTAAGCATTTTAAGAACTATCGTCGTGAATTTGTTAGAGAATATTCTATGTGCAGATACGCGTAATATGTATATGTACAATATATAGTTGATAGTTTATTGTTGTTAGAGACCACGATATAAAAGGAGAAACGCCAAAGATTGATATCTAAATGTCTCCTTTGATCCTCCGTCGCTTACCGCGGTTGTACCCGTTCAATTTTTCTTTCTCACTTAATTCCATTATCGGCAATAATTTAAAGCGGTAGAGCACGATCAGTTTCACGTCTGCATAGGATAATAAATATGTGCGCCAAAGGGTTAACGAGTTATGGACCTTTCACATTTCCGTAACGTAACTGTAAGAAAAATCTTACGTGATGGAAGAGCGAAACTTTGGGCTCGAGAGATTTCGGCCTCCGCCGTAAGAAACAGCCTCCACCACGCAAGACTTTTTTATGGTACGGTTACGATAATGTGAAACGTCCATTAGGCGTACCTCCGATGAATTCGGAAAACGATACTGGGCGAAGACCTTTTTCGAAGGTCATCGAAAGGCGAGAAAAGATCTTCTCCTTGCGATTGTAGTTTGTAACCGCGTTAGAATCGTATCTTCAACATTTTTCGTAAGTCTATTCTAATGTTGTTCGTATAAGGTGAACCATACTGTATAATTGTCTGTTATATTTTATACATCGCATCCGAGTTGCGACCGCAGCCATAGGTAACAGCTCGGGCCTTGTTAACATAATGAATAAATATCAACTACTCACAAACACTCGAAGTTTCCATGTTTATTTCTTAATTTCTGAACGGTCTTCAAAATGTTTAATGGAAAAAATATTTTTCACCCTAGCGAAAAATGCTCCCAATAAAAGTTGTAATTGTAATTGTCAGATATGAGAAAAAGTAGTTTCATTCGTTAAAGAGTAATTGACGATGAACGCGATAATTAATTGATTAATCCTGAAGTATTGAAGATAGTTATAGCTCTAGTCGTCAACTACAAATAAGGTTGTATGCAATTTCCCCGTAGGTCCAACATTTCAGGAGTGTTTAAGGAAAAACGAAATTTTTTATCAAAAGTTCGATGTTTCGACGGAGGAACAGTCGGATTTTGTCCGTACCAATAAAATGCCGATACCGGAGTTAGAAGAAAGAGTCATAGAATCTTTCTTCTAGAGGACATCAGTGTCTTCAACTTTTGCATAAATATTTTTTCGCTAACGTCAAGTCATTTAACGACTTCCTGTATGCCGATTATCACCGAAAAGCGATTACCGGCTGTTTTATGTCCTATTGGGTCCCATTCGCTGTCCCAATGATTACACGGGCGCTGCCACTCTTTACTCGTCTGTGTTGTTTCGTTGTTTGATGTTGATCGATAGTGGGAAAAATGGCGCCTGCCACGGACAGCCTAAGCGATGTACAAAAGCAAATTTTTCAAAAAATCAGTAACAATGAAGTGTTGGAGCTCAAAACGTTATTGGCGGTAAATAAGATAAAAATGGACTTTGTGGATGAGAATGGCATGAGCCCGCTTCAACATGCCTGTTACAAGGGAAATAAGGAGATAGTGCAGATGCTCCTAGACCAGGTAGGTTACATTCTTAACAATACACAAAACAATTAAACATAATACGAAAACTATAATAATAAATAAAGGTTTGAAGATAAACGTGAGAAGAGAAATGCATTGATGAACTAATCATTGAATAATGCAAATAAATATTACAGGGTGCAGATGTAAATGCATGCCAGCATAAACATGCATATACAGCATTGCACTTTGCAGCTCTTAGCGGAAATGCTGAACTCTGTCACCTTTTAATGTCCCATGGTGCACGTTTGACAGCAACAAATAGTGTGGGAAGAACTCCAGCTCAAATGGCAGCGTTTGTGGGCAATCATAATTGTGTAGCGACAATTAACAATTTCATTCCAAAGGCTGATATAGATTACTATTGCAAACCCCAAGGTTTGCAAACTGAATCCATGCTTCCACCACACCTAGCCGACTCGTTTCATAAATTCATAATGCAAGTCAATGTGCATCCTGTACGCGCAGCTATAAATCTGCAGAGATTTCCTGGTCTCTTAGAAAGTGCTACTAAGGTAAAAGTGTATTCATATGGTAGCAAAATATCTTTTAGCCAGGCATTCTTGACTAATTCTATCTTACGATTTTCAGGTACAAAAAGTTTTAGAATCTATGCGTAATAAGGAGATGACGAGAGGCGCGGAGACGAACGAAGTGATGGCATTCAAGTACCATTATTTGAGTTGCATCGTAGCAGAAGTGGTCAAATTTCAAAAGCAACAGAAAGCGATTAAAGCAGAGAAAGAAAAGTTAGACACTATAGAGGGTCTAATAAAACGATTCCTGAAATGTAGTAAAAGCGACGGTGTACCGGAATATCAAGAGGCATTATTGAGGGAAACCGTAAGGGAGTTCCCGTACAGAGAAAGCACGATTTTTCGACAAATGGTCGCCACCCTGGCCGCTAGCGATCCACCATCCGCTGTGTCAGTAATATCTGCTGCGATCAACGGTCAAAGAGCTTTCTCCGATAACGCACAGGTATGCGTTACTTGTGGCGAAGATAAAGCTACCAAAAAGTGTAGCAAATGTAAAGCAGTGCAATATTGCGACAGAGAATGTCAGAGGCTTCATTGGTTTATGCACAAAAAGGCATGTACCAGATTAGATCAAAATATCGCGCCAAGTGCGAAGATCAGCGACGCGGATAAAGAACAAATAGGTAACGCGGTTAGTTCCAGGTTACAGAATCTGAGCGTTAACTGAAAGCAAACGCAAAACTGAATTTCGAAAGAAAATGAACTTCAATGTGCTGTATGTATGTATCTAATTTTTTAACATGAAATGTTGAAAAGATACATGGCCCCTTTTGACGAATAGCTCTCACGTTTTTATTTTTTTGATTCACAGAACTTGATGAAATAGCTTCTTTTATTACAGTGCATTTTTATTCATAGTTCTTGTTCTACGAAATTTTATCATGTGTTGTAACATAATTACTGTCATCGTGTATTATAATGTCGTATGCAAATACTCGGTTACAAGGTTGTTTCCTCGGAATTGTATTGTGGTTGTCATCATAAAATAAAATATTAATATTAATCTATGTTTCTTTCTCTTGACATTTTTATAATACTAATGAGAGTCAAATGAATTTATACAGTATGGAAATGCGATTCTTATGTATATACTCTTCAGTTCATACAATAATTGTAGGAGGCGCTAGAGACTGTGTTTTCAACTTCCTATATACTGTTTTGCTCTTCTCTTTGATAGTGCCTGTGGTGCCTGTGGTGATACTTGCAAGACAAAACACTTCTGTAAAAAAAATGAAAAATAAAGAGTAACGTAATATGGTAATCGTCTATATACATCAATATACATAAGTTTACCACTTCCCTCCATGTACTCCAGCTTAACTGGTAGCGTTTGTTTTGTGGACAATCACAATTGTGTGGTATCTATTACTTAATTGCTATTAAGAATCTCAGTTCAACGACTGACACAAATTACTATTGGAACCCTCAAGGTTTGCAAACTGAATTCATGATTTCATTAAGTGTATTCGCCAAGCTCTTTTCACTGGCATGGGGCGACAATGTGCATCCTGTACATGTAGTGATATGTCTACAAAGAGATCCCGAAATGTTAGAAAGTGCAAGTGAGGTAATGGTTTATTTGTGTGGTAGCGAAAGATTTTTTTAGCCAGGCATTCTTGACTGAGTCTATCTTACGACTTTCAGATACAGAAAGCTTTAAGCAACGAATGTCGTAAAACGATGAAGGAAGACAATGCGTACGGTCAAGCATTGTCATTCAAGTACCATTATTTGAGTTGTATCGTAGCAGAAGTGATAAAATACCAAATGCAACAGAAGGCGATTAAAGCAGAGACAGAAAAGTTAGACAGTATAGAGGGTCTAATAAGAAAACTCATGAAATGTAATAGCTCCGGTGTACCAGAATATCAAGAAGCATTTCTGAGGAAGACTATAAGGACGTATCCAAACAAAGAGAACATAATTTATCTACACATCGTGACGACCCTGGATGCTAGTAATCCACCGTCAGCCCTGTCAGTAATGACTCATGCGATTAACAGTCAAAGACATTTATTTCCCAAGTCAAAGATCTGTGTTACTTGTGGTGAGGACAAAGCTGCCAGAAAGTGCAGCAAATGTAAAGCGGTACAATATTGCGACAGAGAATGTCAGAGGCTTCATTGGTTTGTGCACAAAAAGGCATGCACTAGATTAGATCAAAATATCGCACCAAGTGCGAAGATCAGCAACGCGGATAAAGAACAAATAAGTAACGCGGGTAAAGAACAAATAAGCAACGCAGTTAGTTCCAGGTTACGGAACCTGAGCGTTAATTGAAAGCAAACGCAAGACTGAATTTCTAAAGAAAATGAACTACGGTGTGCTGTATATATGTATCTAATTTTGTAACATGAGAAATTAGTTAAAAAATATGTATCCACTTTCGTTCAATAGCTTTCATTTTTTTATTTTGTTGATTCACAGAACTTGACGATACAGTTTTTTATCAGAGTGGAGTTTTATCCATGGTTATGGATAAGTAAAGAGGTAAATAAATTAATAGGAGACAAATTGTATTTAAATATTGCTAATTTTATTTGGATATAATAAGTTGGATCGTTAATTATGTTAAAAAAATTGGTAAAGTTGTTTGTAATTTGTACAGACATTGTGCTAATTATCACTGTAATTCAACTTCTTATTAGAGGTATCGCTCACTTCCTCTTCCAAGTCATTCTGTAAATATTGCTAATTCCATTTGTACAGTGAATTATGTTAAAATTGTTACATCATAAAAACGATCTAATTATTAATCAATAAAATCTGATTATCACTTTGCTTCAATTTCTTACTGGAGGTCTCGCTTATTTCCTCGTCTTCGACCTTCTTCATCTCACATTCATCAAACAACTTAAACAAAAAATAATGACTATAAATATTAGGATGCATTGTCAATAACTTTCTCATCATAATGGATTCTTATAAACTCACGTGTTTCGCAAGCTTATTCTGACACTGGTCCGAATTGCAATTACATTTACCACTGCAATAGGCATCATTTTTACGACACGAGCATACGCGCGTAACACATTTCGTTTTGCAAGAACATTTTACATCTCCACCAGATGTTCGTTTCACTGACATTCGATCATGCGTAGTATTCTTAGTGCTTGACTAAAAATGAGAAATTATGTATGTGTGAATATTTTAGAAGATAATCGCTGTGCAAACAACATTAACGAGTACAGTGTTAGAAATGATTTGTGTGCATATAATTTCACTGATTTACCAAAAGCCTGGAAATGCGATTATAGAGTGGTGTACCCCTCCAATCTGGGTCCTTTTCAGGATCATCTTCAATTATACTTTCATCATCAATTGTATCATCTTTATCAAAATTCTCTATCTCTATCTCCTCTCTAAGAACTTCGGGATTCACGTTCTCTTTGTTTTCCTTAGTCTTCTTGTTCGGTTTAAGAAAAATCTGAGAAATTTGAAAAATTGAATAAACTCGAATCCGCAAGAATTTAATAAAATTATAAATGTATATTAACTGTTTGTTCCTGTGATTGACACTTTTGTTTAAAGTATTCTAATTCTTCTTTCAATTTTATAATCTCATCCTCATTTTCACTGATGCATACTGTTCTATTTAATTGTCTGGACATGCGCTTTTCTTTTTCTTTAGCACGATATTCATCGAATTGTGCTTTCAGTAGTTCGTACTTATCCTGCAATTACGGTCATTAAGAATTCTTCATTCAGTGCATAATGCAAATATGAATACATACCACGAGCTCCGTGTACTGATTCTCTTTTATACATTGGTTTCTTCTATCTTCTGCCGTATGCTTGAATAATACTTTAAGAGCAGCTCTTGCTTCTTCTAGTGTCTGTATATTTTGCCATCTCGTACGTTCCCTGTTTTCTAAGAAACAAGAAACATTATTCATTATGTATGTGCAAGGCGAGTATGGCGAGTAACATGTGTTAAGAAGATTACCTTGATCAGATTCGATTATCTTCTGCTGAAGATCACTAATTTGTGAATTACGCAACTCCAGAAACTCAGTACACTTGTTAATTTCGTCTTCGTCCGCGTCGCTACTATTTTGAATTTTATTCAACATATCGACCAGCATAGCTCTATCTTGCATTAATTTATCAAGGGAATACTCAGCGTCGACGGTGCTCACTAATATTTGTAACTCCTGATTGATCCAACTGTGTATTTTATCAGATTTATTATTCACCTTTTCTCTCCTCCACTTTTCTGCCCTCTTCTGCAGATCAAGAGCTTCCTAAAAAAAAAAACAAGGTTTATCGAAGTTTGATTAAGGAAGAATATATCTGACTCCTTACTTTCAATCTTTTGTTAACAGCAAAAGCTGCTTCCATTTTCCGTTTTAAGACAGTTTCCTGTTTACTATGCCACATTTTTAAACGTGTATTTTCGTTCACTTGCTTCCTATGCTGATCTTTCCATTTGTTCAGTTCCTTCTCCTTAGCCTGTTTCCATTTCGCAAATTTATCAGACTCTACACGCATTTGCTTAATTAATTTCACCCTTGTTTGTTTCAACATCTGCATTTCTCTCGTTAGGTTCTTCACTTGCTGATCTTGCTTTTCTTTTATTTTAACTATTTTGTCTTGTTCTACGATCTTCCGCCTCAATTCGGACATCTTCTTTTCTAATTCTTGCACCTTCTTGCGCCTCGCTTCTGCTATCCTGTAAAGTACAGGAAAATATTTAAATAAAGCAATAAGCAAATAAGGTATGATTTTCTATTTGGTTCAAACTTACTTCGAGCTAACGTTATTCGCTTGAATACTCTGTAACGCTTGCATGAGCTCGTCCCGTTCAGTTTGAAGAGATCTTATCTCTTGTTCCATTTCCTGTATATCTTTGGAATGATCGATCATTGGCTGCGAGCTTTTTAAGAGCTCAGCTATCAGACTTTCCTTAATTGCGAGTTCTTTATTAATATTCTGCACTTCGTTGTTTCGCTTCACTTGAAGCAACGTATGTTCTTCCTGCTTCTCGTCGATGTCCAATAGACTGTCGGAAGAATTTGCTTCATCTAGACACAAATTTTCCAATTCTTCCGTCTTGTTCGTAAATACATTTGCTTGGAAAGATGATGTCTCATAACGCGTTAATTCTTCCGACGTTTTCTTCTGATCCTTTTGAATATCGAGAATCTTCGAATACAGGGTTTCTAAATGCATGCGGAAATCGTGTTCTTTGAAGTCTTTGTCGACTTCGTCTAAAAGTTGTTTACATTCGTTTGCTATTATCATCACGTCTGCTTGAATTTTTTCTCTAGCTTGCTCCGCTAGCTCTGCTCTTTCGTGCATTATTACAGCCTCGATCAAATTCGAACTCAGCTTTTCTGTTAAGTCCCTTATCTTATTTCGCAGCATTTGATTTTTTTGTTCAAGCTCTTGATGTTCGGCTGGACAAGAAATTCGAATTTCTTGCTCCACTAAAGCAAGTTGCAGTTCCTGTATCAATTTGTTCAGTCTATTTATTTCTGCGACCTGAGGATTCTGATTCACCACAGGTTTATTCTTTATTTTACGCGCTCTATCGGCGTATCTCAGAGTGCTCAAAGTTTCGTCCAGATTATAATCCGCTGGACTGATGCATGCGATCATCAGTGTGACCGAGTTTCCACCAAGAGAGTCTTGCAGCAATCTGGTGAGTTTGCTGTCTCTGTAACCCACGTAAGACGTGGAACCACCATTATCTCCCAATTGAGATATAACGTTTCCTAAAGCTAATAAACCTTTATTTATGTTGACACCCTCCTTAAACCTTTCACCTGTTGCTTGCGTCTTTTTGCTGCGCTCAGATCCAGCTAAATCTACTAAATGGAATTTCGCCGTAGTCGCTGTACTCGGATCATCTTTTTTTTGTTGGTATATGCACAAGGTGAAAATTGCGTGACTTCGGCTACTTTGTGCATTCATTGCCGTTGCACCTGTAGCCCGGCCTAAGGAACCTTGCATCAAGCAATGTAAAGCTTCAGATGGGTTTGTAACTTTCTTTTCGCAAACGCCGATGACTTTCACCTGTTTGCCGTCATCTTTGATATCCACGATACACTGACCACGATGCTTGTCAGCTAATAGATCGTATAATTGTTCTTGATACAGTTCCATGAACGACACTGTGGTTTGAAAGCTCCAATCTGGCTTTTGTGCTATTGTTTCAAATATATCATTCACTGCCCGTGGTATAATGCCTGAATCATCACCTTGTACGTAATTTGTACCCATTGAATGAGTTTTACCACTACCTGTTTGACCATATGCTAATATTGTTACATTATATCCTGTAAAATAAAAAGTGCATAATTATAACATGTAGTCTACAGAGTGACTGTAACATTCCTTATTACCTTTAAAAATATTCTGCACCATACTTTTTACAGCTGTATTATAAAAATCTTCCTGTCCAATATCAGAAGGAAAAACGTAATTAAAGGTAAACGACTTGTCTGCGTTTCGTACAACTATCTGTTGCTCTCCAGGAACAACATCCAGGCATGGTCGACATCCTCTTTCTATTTCGGTTTTAACTAATGGACGAATACGTACTGCGACTTTGACTGTATCTTCGGACATCTACGACGATTGTTTGTAAGATAAAGAAATAATTAGTAGTAGCGTGTGAAAACCCGAAATTGTCGAGTTATGTCGGGAAGAGAATTTTTTCGGGATCGGGGTCGAAAATGCCGGGATTCCAGAGAATGTCGAGATTGTCGAGTACGTTCGGATCTCTGGATTATGCCGAGATTCCCCAAAATGTTTGGGACTCGTCTACTAATCGGTATTATAAAAATAAGCAAGAGAAAGTGAAATTAAAATAATCTCTTACCTTAAATTCTCTCTGGTACGACCGTTGTGATGCCTTTGCAGTTGTTGCAGTCAGTTGCAGTTTGAACTCGAACGGTTTGAAATTGTACCAAATTGTACAGTCTCGCACTTTGCACAAAATATACAAGCATCCCATGATTCCCCCACCCAGTAAACCATCGTCTGCCATCTACAGCAGGATTTTACTGCTACGGCAGCAGAACAATCACAGTTCTACGCACTTTTATGTGGTTCTACGTCCGCACTCGAATATTGTACCCGGGTATAAAAAACTACAGCTTACAGGTCAATTAACGTACGTACGCGATGGGAGCAACTATTTCGGATTCCGGTGGACCCGTGGATTCAAGAGATAACTTCCTCTCTGCTTCACTGCGATTCCTTTGCTCGCTTTAAGTTTGGAACCAATAGGTTTGCATCTTTTTAAGTCATTTTACTCTAAGCAATAACACCAAGGTGAATAAAGGAACTGGACATTTCTCTTTTTTGTAATATAAACATTTTTCTTATTCAAACGTATGTTCTTACATTTACACAGTACAAAAAATTATACTCAAACCTGCCGGCCCGCGGTTCATAATTGCTATGACTGGGGGCGGCCGGTGGGGGGTGGTGTGGGACTTTTGGGGGTGGATATTTTTCTAGGAATTTGAAGGGCTGTACAAGTTGTCTCTCATCCATTCCACTCCGCCCCCGATACACGGCCCCTTGGCTCTCTCGCTTTCTCGCTCGTACATTCTCTCTATCTCTCTGAAACATACGTAGATACAGACACAACACGACGCGATCTTTCTTGAGAAAAAGTCTCATTTACATGTCACTCATTATTCGTTACACGTTACACGCCACACGGTCGTAATCGTGCTTCTCGCATAATCAGCAACATTTAAACATCGGTATTCCTCTCGTAATAATTAATCGTAATAATGGTAATTAATGATAATAGTATAATAAACTATCTATCTACGAGTGTAAAGTGTATTTTTATCCGTTTTGCGGAGTGTGTGTCCCTCGAGTCTAAGCTTCGTCTCGTATTTATATATACGTACATATATACTGTATGTATAAGTATATTCTATACATATACATATGTATGTATAAATGTATTTACATACACTTAGCGGAAAAACAAATAATAGCTTTGCAGCGTTAATACACAGAGTATGCATTTTTTCTTCCTATAACTTCAGATATATATATATACAGTTCACATCGCGGATATCATCGTCGTCGTCCGTGAATAACAAGGACATTCTTTTTGTATTCCTCGTTACTTAGCAATTTGTGATATCATTACTTATCGACGCTAGGATATTTAAAAATGTACTCGTTAAATATTATTATAATCAAGTCGTTGTATGCTAGACGAATGTTGAGATCAAAGAAATTGCGGATTCCAGTGCTTCTTATTTTCGGTTGTTCTTCGGTCATCGTTATTATTGAAAGGACGTTACCAGCCGTTGAGAACGTACGACCGATCGATGGAATAAAAGCGGACCGAAGCTAAATGTCGCTGCTGCACGCGTACCCGTCTTTAAAATCCATTGACTGCTGTTCTCTTTGTCCCTGTCTCTCTTTAAATCGCTTGCTTCCATGTTAATCCTATGTCTTCGCCCATTCCAATCGCTAAGCGACCAACGGGGACAGCGACGGCTTTCAAAGGTACGGATCTCGCTATATCGTGTGCGACGACATATTTAGCAGCGATTCGTTTTCTCCGAGAAACGTCGAATGATAGGAACTCGGCCTCTCTTATCTATGAATTCTGCACGACTCGTCATCCTCTTTTTCTTTTTCTTCTTCATTTTTCCTGTCGCGTATATTTTCCTCACGTGTCTACCTATAATATATATACGCGTACGGCGGAACGCACGAAAATCGTCCACGTACTACAATACACAGTTCCTAATAGCAATATTGGCACTTCGAGAGTTGTTTGTTACATCGCTACTTCGAGATTAAATAAACGAGTTACTAACATAGTTTACCGATGTTAAATACAATTGCGATAATATCGCTGTTATCTATCGGATAGACGATTGTTCGCACGATTTCACAAAAATAACAAATTCTATGTTTTTTTCGTATTCTTCTTCCCGCGATTATTCTCTTCTGTACCGGGTTTAACTTCACTGGGCCATAACATTTGACAACCGATTGTTTAAAAAGAAAAGAAAACCATTCAATTCGAGTAATCCACTCTCATCGATCTTACTCCGTTAAGACGGTATCGAAAGATTTCGTTGAGATATCCTTTTTTTTTATCATTATCGTATCGATGCCTCGTTAACATTTTTGGAGTTGATCCGTGTTACCGCGGTGTTAAAACAAAATATAACAGTTTTGCGTGCTCGGGCTTTGCTCGGTATAGCCGATATATTTTTCGATGAATGGACAAACCGGAAAACGCGTTACTACGCGTCAAGGGGGTACAGGGCATAGAGGATGCGGAGAGACGATGAGTCGAATTCGAGAAAGCTCGACTGCGATCAGGGCTACGTACAGTATATTATACACGTATCACATACATGTTATAAAGTCATTTTTATTTGATCTCGCCCGTAAATTGGACCGACGCGCACAAACAGCTTAGGCAGTGTTTCCCTCTTGTGTTCGTAGTATCGCGCGCACGGAACCCAAGAACGTAGCGAGAAACATATATCGGCTATTCAGCAAAGCACGTTCGTTTTCTCGTTTTAAATTGACGATACCAAAAGAGCACCAGAGCATTCCGAGAGCATGTAAAACGTGGATCGACGATAAACTTTCATCACTGATCCATTTAACGATTTTTAATCGACATCTAATTGCACAAAGGTACCTATACACGGTTCTCTCGTAGTTACTAATAAGAATTCGTTACACAATAATCGATTATCTACAATTATATGTATAATATAGACAGTATGTATTGAGAATACAGGCACGATACAAGTATAATTACAAATAATGTACGATTCGAAAAGTCATCCCCCTGGGTATCACAATACGACGATGGACAGTGGCGGTGCGAACCGACACCGATTCCACTGAGCTGTATTTCAACGACGAGAACTTCGCGTTCTGTCCGTTGTAGCACGTGTTTCAATAATAACGGAAAAGAGAAGGGAGGGACAGAAAGAAAACGAAAGAAACACGAAACGATGAAAGTAAATTGAAACGAAGCAACGAATAACCTGGATTGGCTCAGCCAACTCGGCGAAAATCAAACGTTTTGAGTTACTCGACGCCATATATCACAACAAATTCTTGCACCTCGGTCGCGATCAGCGACGAGGTATCAGAGACCGTTTCGGAACGTACTTCCTCGAATCCTTTCCTCTTTCTCTCTCTCTCTCTCTCTCTTTCTCCCGTGAGCGCATGCGAACTCCGATCTCGGCCGAGTGCGTATCGACCGGTCTATGTTCAGGACAAACGATCGGCAATGCGCAGTCACGCGCAGACTTTTATTTCATAATCATTGACGGTTCTTGCGACCGCGACTCGGGGCCCAGGGCTACGTCTCTTCCTTCTTTATCTCGTTGTTCGCGTTAACCTGAGCGACGAGAGTCTCGTCCTTCGCGTTGTTCAAAACGGTCAAGGAATCTTTCACCGCATGATATATTATATTCTTGATCTGCAGCTTATCCTCGTGATTAGTGTGCGTATCGGATAACGCGCGGAATTCTTGTGTCAGGTGGAAACAATGCGACACGTTTTCCGGAGACACGAAATCCTCGGCCACTTTTATGCAATTGTGAAGATTACGGACTTGATGCGGTGCGCCAGCTGGCACGAACACTGCATCGCCTAGGCACTGTACGATAGCGTATCTATAACAGCGAATCGAGAGAGAAAAATGGAGATTAATGGAAACCAAAACTTAAAGGTCGCGCAGATCGTGAGAAAAATAACAAAAATCGACAATGGCAGGTACATTGCTCACTACTCACCCTTCGACACCGTATTCGCGATAAAGACGCTCTCGCAACGGTCCATCGAGATAACAACTCTGATCGTGGATCGGATCGTGATGCGGTTCCAGGCGAGCACCGCGTTCCAGAGCCACCGCGTTCAACAGATCTCGAATCTTATCGGCATCCCTGGCGGAATAGATGTGCCATAACGCACCTGGTGCCTCGCCGCGTTCGCGAACGCGTCGCCGCGTTAGGATATCACAGCCGGCTTCATCTATCGCTCTCAACGCTTCTGCAAAGTTGAGAAAAAAGGAATTAGACTCTGTCAATGATATGGACTTGGCAAGCGCGCACAACACGTAGGCTGAGAAAAAGATAAATACCTTTTACGTGTTCGTCGTTGTCAGCGTCCTTTGGGATTCCTACGTAGACCATCACGTTGACCGCGTCGGAAATGTCCAGGTGCAGATTGGTCGTTCCCTTGTTCGGATGGAGGGCCGACCCGTAGGCATTATACATTTTCGGTCCCAAGTCCGGTCTGACGAAGCAGTCGGGCAGACGACTGGCCAAATTCAGTCTTCCATTTCGATGCGTGTACTCCGACAACGGGAGAACTTTCATCAAATCCGCAAATCTCGACGGTAACAATTCCGCAAAGTCCTCGCCGGGCGGCCAGTCCTTCAGCTTCAACAACATCGGATTGCCCCTGTCGTCTTTCAATCTTTTCGAAAAGTGTTCGAACCCTTCCCAGAACTTTCGCATCGGTTGATTCGGTACCAGATTCCCCGTCATACAATTGATCAGATCGTTCTTTTCATCGCCGAAATCCCTGGCGAACGAGTCCGGATGCCACAGATTCATATCCAACGCCTTGGCGACGTCCGATACGATCACTGGCTGTCCGCGCTTCCACTGGTCTTGGAATATTCGGTAGTTGTTCAAGTTGTTCGGATCGTTCAGTCTTAGCAATTTTCCGTCGCAAAGCCATGAATGCGGCACGTCGGGATACAAGCTCTTGCTCTCGGTGAGCGTCATGATGCGAATGGGCAACGGTTCCCTTCCTTTTTGCGTCCACTTATATCTTCTAACGAAGTGCTTCAGTTCCCTTGGTTTCTCATCGTCCAACACCAATCCACTTTCTCCCCTTTCCTTCTTGACACTGTGCTCTATTACGCTAGATATCACCTCGTCCAAAGTGTCCATCTTCGACTTCTTGCCGGATTTGGTCGCGGTCGCGTTGTTCTGCTGCTGCTGCTGTTGCTGCTGCCCATTGTTTCCGGACGTAACGTTGCCAACGTTACCGCCACTGGCCGTATTCGCGTTGGCATTGGTATTGGTATTCGAGTTCGCGTTCGTAGGTGAATTCGATCTGGACCCGTTGCCGTTCGACTTATGGGACGGTCGGATGAGCAACTCCCGCAGCGTCGAGTAATTCCCGTCCCGATCTTCGTCCGAATCGGAACTGGAACCGCTCTCGTTTTTGTCCTGATTCTGTAGCGCTACGTCCGCCAGCCAATTCAGCGGCGAGTTCTTGTCTTCTCCGTTTGTCTTGCTCTCAGACGAACCATTCGACTCGTTCGTCTTCTTCTCTTCCTTCGGTTCCTGTTTCACATTGCCGTTCAAAACCGGCACCGAGTCCCCTTTGATCAGGTTCCGCAAGAACTCGTTGGTGGGTATTTGAACGACCAGCGAACAACCGCAATGCTGCGGTATACCCCATTCCGCGCGACATTCGTGCAGTCGTTGACCGAGACGTACCAAACTATCGCCGGCAATTATTTGCGTGAGCATCAGTCGTTCGGGTTCGTGTACCTGCCGATTCGTGCACAGAAGCCACGAGAAATCGTCCCTGTCCTTTCCGCTTTCTCCCCAAATCTTGATAGTTCCATTCTTGCGTCCCTGTACACAACGCGACGATACATTCACGATCGACATCAATATCGATTGATCTAATTAGCTACGATGTACATCGTCAGTGTTAAAAAGCTCGATTTATATTTTTCCGACTCGTATCATATGCGTTTTTCAGTATTTCGGATCGCTTCTCATCATCGTGTTATCGACTATCGTTAGAATTTATAAGATGAATGTTTAAAGGGAACGCGAATCGATATCTTACCTTGTAACAGTCGATGCATACGACGAAACCACATTTACCGCAGGCCCAGTGGTAATTGAACAGCGTCGTCTCGCACACGTCGCACATCTCTCGGACACCCTGGACCACTCTCTTCCAAGCTACCGTTCCGTCTACAAGTCCCGAACTTGCTGTCATGGTCAAGAAACAATAGATATGCAAAGCGTTAAATCATGCGAACAAACGAAATGGCTGAAGCGATTTCTTACACTCGTAAGAAGTACATACGTATGTAATAACGTGCATGCTCACGAAAATTTCGAAACACACTTCTGAACGTAACGAAAGAAAATATTGTAATAACCGTAAACGATCAAATTATTGTAACGTCTCTCCGTTCTCCGTTCAAAAATCGAAAGTTTATTCTAACAAACGTTTTACACGTGTACATGCGTTCATGTTAATGAACAACGTGATATAGTGCGCGTTCATGATCAGTGTTTTGCTATAACAGAACGAAACTTACCTTCGGCCATATGCTGTTGAAGCGCATCCTTCTCTTGGTGCAACAGATCACAGAATTGATCCCCGACTTGACGCAACAATCTATGAGCCATCTCCAAATCTAGGTCTTCTTTGTCTCCTTTCTCCTTGTCGTTCTTGTCAGATTTCTCATCCTTCTTGGTATCCGAACTGTCCTTTCCTGGTAACCATAATCGAAGATCTTCCTGTAACGCGAAAACCCATAGCTTTTTTTTACCGTTGCCAATACGTGCTGAAAAGCGGGTAAGGCCTGTACGACGTTTACTCGCGAAGGCAGAAAGTAGGCATGTATTTACCTCGGAGGCGTCCTTGTGTGGATCGCTGAATCCTGCTATGGCCAGCTGGCCATTCTTCGTGTACCGTAATCGACGGAATGCATAGAATCTGCAGAAAATATTTTGCGAAAGGTTTTTCGATCGCTGATGCGGCGTCCACCTGCATTCGCGACATTTGGCAAGTTTCGGAGCGACCTCGCAACAGGCGCCGTCTTGCAACCAACTGTCACCGGTTTTCTTCAACTGCGATATCGGGGGCCTGCGAAAAGGATCACCCCTTCCACCGCTTCCACCAGGTCCACTGTTACCACCGCTTGCGCTGTCGTCCCTGCGCTCCTTTTTCTGGCGAGGTTGCTGATCCTCTCCACCCACTTCGTTACCTTTCGTAGTCTTTGGTCTTCTACCTCGCTTCCTGGGTTCCTTGTTGTTTCCTGTGGAATAACAAATGGAAGCCGTTTGAATCCACCTCGTCTGATGATTCGCTACCGTTTACGTACGCGACAAAGAGACTCAGTGTTAAAAAGCTCATCGTATCGATTTTATTCTCATTCGCGTACGTCGGGTGCATTGCTGCTCATCATTTTATCTGGACAAGGGTAAGTGTCGCCTCGTAGAATAAATCACAAGTACGTACGGATTCGAAAAAACAGGGTAAGTGTGTGAGGATTGCGAGGCAGTCTTGCGAAAACACGAGATAGTTGTCAAACTTGGAAGAATTATCAGGAATCGAATAAAACGCGACACAAGTTTCGGTTTCGTTCGTTTCGATAACGAGGACTATGAAGAATATGCGTAATGTTACTCCTGAATGTTTCAGGTTCCCACGTAGGTCTACGAAGGACTACGGGAGGAAGGTAAGCTTACGATTGTGAAACACGGATCACTTACCCTGCAAGTGAATAGTTAGTTCACCTAATGGGAAGTCCGTTTACAAGAAGCAACGTCAACTAACCGTTTCCCGAGGAGCTGTTAGAATTGGCCATGGTATGTCGCACTCTCGACGCGGGCTGTACAGAACCCAACTGTTCGCTTGTATCGCTGGCAGAGCCAGCCTCGCTCTCGTTGCTGGACTCGCTTCCCGCTCCGGCTCCACCACCTTGTTTGTCTTCTTTTCGTCTCCGCTGGTCTTCGGCGGTTGTTTGTTGCCTCCGTGCGGCGCCCTTCTTTCGTTTTACCTACCACAGGGCACAGATTATTAAGTAGTCAGGAAGTTCATGCTCTTGCCGAAACTACTGTCGAAAACTACTAGCTTGCAGTTAAAATTTCTTTTTCTTTCTACTCAACTCGCCCCTCTCCCCATCCCTCTCTTTTCTATCGCAAGCACATAACCTAAGTATAGGAGACACGTTCTAAAAGAACAAGTCTGATGCGATAACGGAGAATCGTGAGGATCGTGAGAATCGCGTTATCTCGATTATTTTTTTAATCCAAATTGAATATGAATGATCGAAATAAATAAGTATATTATTAAGTAAGTAATTACGTTGGAGCACAGTAGATCAGATGAGGTTATATTCACCAATGCGAGGTATACGTACGAGCGATTGATGTTTTACTATTTCTATCGATCGAGAATAACACATCTTCGGAAATTGATGATCATGCGTCCACATTCGATAACCGAAGAACGAAACTACGTTAAATTAAGTACCAACGCGACCGTTAAGTATATTTCTACTTGCGGCAGTTTACGGCGTGCATCTCGAATAGCACGCCCTCTACAAACGAGATGGCATCGAAGTAAAGCGGGTAATTCAAACGCAGAACGGGCTTGTAGAACAAACTGACTATGGCTACACGACTGGACTAACTCTTATTTCTCCTTGTCTATATTATTTACGAAACGTTAATGCTGCGCGACTCGATTGGGGGGAAAAGAGAAAAACATAGTTAGGATTAAGCCAAAAGAAAATACTAATTGTAAGACACAATCTACTTATAAGTGCAAAAAGCGTGCATGCAACTATATGTACCTACACATAAAGTACGAATATGCAATGAAATGGATGAATCATAAATTCTCTTGGTTAAAGATTCGAATAGCCAGGATTCATTTAACATGGAAATAGGGATTGGAAAAGGCAAAGAGAACGAGAAAGGGTAAGGGCAAATTATATGTTTAGATACGATTTTTATAGATACCTTGGGTGGCTTTCTTTTCGGCGGAGATTTTCTCTCCGGATCGCTGCTGGAAGAGTCTTCTTGCAACGACGGTTTGGCATCAGTCGCGTGTCCGTTCAATGATTCTTTGTTCGCCGATTTTCGACCACCCTTCGAAGACACTTTACTCTTGTTGATGCTGTTCACCGCCATACTTCCGATATTGTGAATAGAATTGACGGCGCTTGGCATGCAAGTGGTGGTGGTCGAATTGTTGGAAGCATTCGAGGTATCGTTCCGATCCTTCAAGCTCACCGACGACGGTGCTTGAGAAATGTTCATAGGCAAAGTGAGGCAGGATCCGCTGCCCACGACGCCGGTCGTGTCCTCCGTGCCATCCTCACCGGAGTGCCTCTGCAGCCAAGCCTTCTTCAACTTGTGAACAGGATAGCTGGTGCTGCTCGGTGGTCTCGGTGCCGGACTATTGGACTTTTCGCTGTCGACCGTGCTACCAGGATTTGCCTTGGCGGGCGTCCCAGGTGCGCTGGGGGCTGGACTAGGTGCCGTGCTGGGCGCGGGACTCGGTACCGGCGCCGGGCTGGGCGCCGCGCTCAGAGTCGCGGTCGGATTCAAAGACGAGACGCTTCCAGTGCTCGCGGGACGAACGGATCCGTCCCCGCTGGCGGTACGAGGCGCCGGACTGACCACGGTCGCGCGGTCGCGTTCCTGCGCGATCTGCTGGCCTAGATTGGTAGGCTGAGCGAGCAGGGCAGCGGTATTGACGACGGTCGTGATCGAAGTGGCAGCCGAGGCGATCAACGGACTCGGCTCGCTGACTCTGGACAAAACCGGTGAACCGACACATTGGAGAGACAACGGTTGCGGTTCTTCTGTCCTACGCTTTTTGCAAACCTCCAAGGAAACAGGTTGACCGGTACCGCTCTCGGTCAACGAGGGGGTCGGCGCTTTCCTCTTCGGCGAGCCGGATCTCTCGACGCCGAGATCGAGCGGCTGCGTCTGGAAGGAGGCGGTGTTCAGCTGCGGTTGCGCGTGCTGCACGGTCTGCCCGGGCGGTTGCTGATGCGGACTGGTTCGATGGGCGGGATGATGCGCGGGATGCGCGATCGGCCTGGAAAGAGGCGCCGAGGCCGCGGTCGGCGGAGATCCATGAAGAGGGGGCAACGGTGGTAGCTTCGCGACCGGCATCGTCCCAGGATAGCCCCTTGACTCGTAGACGGACCTGCTGTGTGCAGGCGGCGGCAAAGGTGGAGGCGCCCCGTGATGATGAGGCACTTGCTGATAAGGCGAGCAGCTGCCGGGTTTCGAGGTGAGAGGAATCGGGGCCGCGACTGCCGTCGGTTCGGAGGCACGACAAACTGGAGTGCCGGTCATGATGCCGGAGTTCGGTTTCCCGTAGATGTGAGGTGGCGCCGGACTGCTCACCTTCGGTTTCGAGCCGGCCGACGGCGCAGCGTAATGCGAGGTCGGCGATGCCGTGGGCGGATGCGGATGTGGATGCGAATGCGGATGCGGGTGCGAATGCGAATGTGAACGCGGATGCGTGTACGGATACGAGGACTTGGCAGTGGCGTAAGGTAGACCGGGTTCCGGCCTGGTGAGATAACGTGGCTCGGGCGGCGACGGATGCGGCGGTTGATGAGGATGCTGAGCGTGTGGCGACTGTCGATTGTGCGAGTGAGCCGCTGGATGCCCGTGGGGGCTGGGTAATTGCGCCGTGGTCGTGGCTCCGCCGCCGCCGCCGCCGCTACTGCCGCTCCTGTGATGGCTCTGACCCATGTCCGGTCTCTTCGCCGCCTGCAATCCGTCCAGGTGATGAAGATGGTGCGGGCTCTGTGTCGGGCTCCTGTACTCGTACGACTTGTGTTGCGGTGGTGGCGGCGGCGGCGGAACCGACTGCACGTTCAGATATGGCATCATCTTCGGACTCGGCGAATGCTGTTGCTGCTGTTGCTGCTGCTGCGACGTCGTCGTCGTCGCGATGGCCTTTGGAAGTTCCCGGCCCTCGTTCTTCACTATTACCGAGCTCTTGTGATCGGCCAACATCGACGCGGGATTCTGGATGACCTCCCGCCCGTGGTGATCCCTTTCGAGACCCTTCCCTGCCTTGTGTGACTGTCCACCGTCGGCCTTCACCTTGACATCGTGCATGTACGAAGGCTGCGGTTGATACGTCGAATAACTGAAGAGGCCGACGTTCGGCTCGACCTTTGGCAGAGAACTGTGCGACGGTCCTACCACCGATGGCGGTTTCTCGTGCAGACTGCTGCCTACGGGAAGCGACGATTTGGACGTCCTCGAGTGCGCCGGCGGTGGCGGGTAGTCGACTTTGCCAGGCACGCTTGACGGTCGTGACACCTGCGTTCGACAATCATCGACTTTAGAATATAACGGACAGGACGCGTTTTTTTAGCTGTCAGATAAGAAGAAAAAAGATGGGGATGGGGCGGGGTAGTATGATGACCGAAGTGCGGACGTCGTAGATCATTACCTGTTGAGCGGAAGGCGCCGTCGCTGCGTAATACGCGGCCCTTTGTTGAGCCACGACGTGGTCCCTGGCCTCGACCTGCCTGTGCAATCTCTCGGCTGCAGCCAGCTGCTCCCTTATTCCCAGATTCTCCGTTTCTCGTTGACGCTGCTGCTCTCTCGCTTCTCGCTCTCTCGTCTCTCGCTCACGTTCCCGTTCCCTTTCTCGTTCCCGTTCCCTCTCTCGTTCGCGGTCGCGTTCCCGTTCCCGTTCCCGCTCTCGTTCCCTGTCCCTTTCTTCTCGCTCTCGTTGCTGCTGCTGCTGTTGTTGCTGCACCACGGTTACCTGATGCGCCGTGGCCGCACCTGCCCCAGGGTGGTGATGACCCACGTGCGCGGTCATCCCGGAATGCGCCCCGGCGTGCGTTCTACTTCCCGGAGGTGGCAACGGGATGAACGTGTTCCACGCCATCGAGGTCGATTGCATATTTCTCTGCGGAACATAAGACACCTACTTCAATAAATACTGCCAATCGGTTCGTCGGTACGAGCGATATTCTCGCGGGTCCTTCTTCGTCCGATCCCAAAACGGAAAACGCTGTTGTCTATTTCCAGCAAATACGGAAATCCTCCTAAATAGGAGGAGATCCTAACGAGAAGCTGTGCCAAGGCTCCGCGGTTGCCGGATAAAATCGGACGAGAAAGGGGGAGTAGAAAGAGCGTATCGAACGCTGTACAGTCCGTCGGGAACAGACCACGGGACCTAATTATAGTCGAGAAGAAGCAGGGTTTACATACTACGGTAATCGAGCCGTGAATAAACGAGCACGACCCACGCGTTTCGTTTGTCCAGTACTCGCGCGTCATCGTTCGATTGTTTGTATTCGTCGCACGCATGCCAACGCCAGCCATACCTCTGCTATTCTTTTTCATCATCCTACACGCTTGCAAATAGTAAATACCTATCTTGAAGGTGGAGTAAGTATGTAAATACCTATCTTCGAAAAACGAGGAAACGTAGAAGAAAGGAATGATGAATCATTCGAGATTCTCTGTCTGGGCTTCCAGTTCCGTACAAACGTGTCAGTCTAAATTGAACACGCGTTGCTATCTCGACAAAAAGTGCGAGGGAATGAGAGAGAGAAGAGATTGGACAAAAGCTCGGAACGATAGAGGGGCGGCGGTGATCAAATCCGAGAGGAATCAGCCGTAATAAAAGGCAGAACACGGCATTCGAGCTCGATCGGGGACTGACTGCCATTGGTTCGTCGACTTTCTCTTCCACGACTCTTAACCCGTGAACGTTTAATCCGGTTTTTGTTCCTCGGGCCGTGATCGCGTCATCGAGCTTCTCTTCTCCTCCTCGTCGCTTTCCGTATACGCGTACACGTTCCGCTCCAAATAATCGCGAATCGAATAAGTACTCGTCGGCGAACTCTCGTCTATTACGTATCTCGTGCGTCGTAAGTAGATAGTTCACGTCGTTAACGCGCGCTTGCGAGACGAAACGATTCTCCTCTGTATCATAAATGACGTATTCCGTAGGAAGACGAACCGACCACCGTACGACGGATGACATCGTCGAAACTATTTCTGCCGTCGCGTCGTTCGAATTAAAACCGTACAGCATTCGCTTTCGGCTCGGATCGATTACTGGGACGGCACGGCGGTAACGCGAGCGGTCGCGTCGGCATTATTCGAGCTGGCGTCACGCTTTTTAAACGCGCATCGATTTACCGCGTTTCGCAACGCAGTCACGGTTCTATCGCGTCCTAGGTAATTCCTAACGAGCACGATTCCACCGGTGAGTCTTGAGTCATCGCGAACCAACCGACGCGGTAGCGGCCGACGATCAACGCGGAGAATTACGATGCTTGCGGATCGCCACTATTCTATACTCGACTCTGACAGTGAGATCTCAGGCGACGCGACATTCGCGGTATTCGAGCTGCGCGAGAAGCTGCAACGCGATGGAAAGCTAAAAGGAAGGCAGACTAACGCGGAATGTTCTACTTATAACGCGAAACGAAAATAACTCCTGACCGGTCGCATCGTCGATGCCAGCGGATGGAAGTTGGAAAATACGAGAGAGATAAAAGATCGGAACGATCGAACAATTCCGGAGAGACGTGGATACGTATTTACTTATTTTTCATCGTCCGAACGAAAACGGGTTCTCTTTCTTTCGGTTCAGGGGGGCGTAACCCGGTTTACTCGCACGACGACGTTATTCAAGGGAAACGTTTTCGTTATTTATCGGGCTGTGAGACAGCTCGAACAGGGCGGGGGTGAATGCGAATACGAAAGAATCGCTGTCTGCGAGCGAAACGAATCAACCCCCGCCGTATTTCTGATCTGTTTCTCTCTCCCTCTGCTTCCTGTGTCCGCTGCACCCTTCTCTCTTAAGCGCACGCGCTCCCGCTTCAATTAATCCATTCGTCGATTTCCCCCTTCGACCGCAAAAGTACCGTCCCCGCCTCTCCGTTGACCCCGGCGCACGTCCCAGTCTATTTAAATTTTAATGCCACGCGGATGCCGAGGGTGGGTTTTCTGCTCGGAAAACGTCCCGCTCCCGTTTCGTTCGACGAGAAGGGAGCACTCGCTGGATATGAAAACCGAGTCTTCGTCCGGGGAGTTTCCCTTCCGGGATCGTATCGAATCACGCGTTCGAGGATGGCGCGAGCACGCGCGTGTACAGCCAGCGTATCGTGCGAAAGTAGCACGCTTAATCGGTCATCGAACGACCTCGACGGGAACATGTACATCGAGAAACTGAGACAAATATTTATTATTTGCGATATGCCAACGGGATTTATCGACGGAAATGAAAATAAGCGCAGACCGTTATCGATACCGATTCGTGTCGCGCTCACAAGTCCATCAACGCGGGGATACGATCCAATACTTTCGTTTCGACACGTCGCCGCATCGTTCCGCAATATACGGGTGGTATTTACTTACTTACATACTCGCCGATTCTATAAATCGGTCCGTCGAGTCACGAGGTTCGCTGGAAAAATTGAGCGAACCACGGCACCTTCCCGGTTCTCGCTCGATAATCAGACGCTAATTAATGGCACGACACGAAATCCTTCAAAAATATGCGATCCCAGTACGTCGTCTTCGCTAATTTACGGTTTATGTAAGTACGAAGGTACACACCGCGTATCGATTGGTTCGACGAAACGATTCTACGAAAAATCGTGATAAGGTACCGATTGCCACCTTTATCGAACACTTGTACCGCAGACTCTGAGATAAGAAAGATGAGGATTGAACGCGCGATCGAAAACACGGAATGTGTACAACGTGGAATACGGTTGTTTACGAATTCCGGACATTAAACTTCTTTGACGAGCCCTGGGGAGGAATGAAAAGGTCGCGATGGAAACGTTCGAGCAATGCCTACTCCGGCGAACGTACACGTACGCGTATGTATATTTAGTCACTGTCGTAATCGACGAGGACACCCGGGATCGAGAATCGAACGCGAACACGAACGTCGTGTCGACTGTTGCGAATAATATATATGTACATAGAGGTATATAGCAAACCGCTATCTTATCGGGACAGGCGAGCCGCGAACGTATAAATATACTTGCCAGCAAACAGATAACTGGCGAGATGATAGAGCAGATAAGAGAAGACGGAACCGAGGCCGAGTAATAATCTTTTTTACACCCGTTTCGCCCGACACTCGGCGATAACGACGTTGCGCTTAACGATTTAACGTACACTAATCTATTCGTGCCGTCTGGGTTGGCAGCAGAAGTCAGAACTACGATCAGAGGAATTCGCGTGAATCAGAGTACGAAACGTTTCGTTCGACGAAACTTGGATGGACGATTGCGAGACGCGAAAGGGGCTCGAGTAGTAGAACGGAATACGAAAGCGATTCGTCGCCGTGCGCGAGAGACGAGGGACGAGGGAAAGATGAAGGAGAGACACGGTCGTCGAGTCGAGTATCCGATAGGAAGAGGCACGCGCAGAGAATTTGCAGGCTGGCGTTATACTTAATTTCGCGCGTTTAACCGGTCGTAAGCATAATTCGAAGAAAGGATAGCGTTCATCGGGGTCGCATTAAATTTCAAACGAGCTACTCTCAAAACGGCTACGTAAGAGAGCGATAGAAGTTGCTGACGAGACTGCAGGGAAACTACTCTCCAACCTTCCTATGTATATGTGTGCGCGTACATAGGTGGGTGCTCGGTCAGCAGACGGAGAGACCTGCTGACTACGTATTCGCATTTCTAAATCTACCTCCGGAACTCGCCGTAGCCCGCAGCCGCGTGTTACGCTTCCACGGTGAAGTTCGCAAAATGAACTGGAGACTACACGAAGGGAAACAGTTTCCTGGATTTAAAAATCCCTCTGCTTCCCTTCCAGCTTTATAGCAGACGGGACGCTCGCGCGAGGATACGAATCGTAGATCAGCGCGTTGCATCTTCGAGAGAGCGAAGGATCACCTGTTTTCTCTCTTCACTCTGTTGCCCGGAGCGGAAGATAAATGGGAATAAAGAAACGTCGCGAAGAGAGAACCGAGAACAGGTGCGTCGAGAAGCATCCGTTCCGAACGGAAAAACAGGCTCGGGTGTCGACCACCACACATGGACCAAGTTAACTTTGCTAGTTTTAATTCGAACGCGACTTCCTCGAAGTTGAGTCCGCTCTCTCGTCGTGCAATCGCTTGCGCTATAAACAAGTATATGTATGTATACGTTGCACAATAAGCGGCACGCGACAAAGCCGACGTTCGAGTTTCTCTCACCGAGATCTGGATCGGTCTCGAGTCTCTCGGGTCCTCGTTTCTCGCTCGTCTTTTTACTTTCGCGTCTGACCGATACGCGCGTTCTACCTTCTACATACTAGGCATGTACACAGGCCCGAACGGATTATGTGCTCGCGCAGCCGACCGATCCGCTGATCACGTATGCGTTTACGCCGTTTTCTCCACGATGCTCGCAACGTTCCGCATCGAATGGCGTGACGAGCGCGCGTAATCTCGAGCCAATTACCAACGCGGTAACCCTGATTAATTAATCCGTGTAATTTACGAGGAAGCGCGTTTATAAATGGTACGTCCCAATTAGAATTTTTCGTACGCCGGTCGAGCCGGTTCTCGCGTGCACGTTTTGCCCCTCTCGCTCGATGGTTTCACCTTTGCAAACTCGTTTATCGTTCGCGTTAACAAATTATTCAGACCGTTTCCGCATCGTTCCGAGAGGAAATCGAGAATCGATCTTCGAAACTGGAAATTCGTGCGAGAGGAGGGCATAGTCGATGACCGGTCGTAATCCGGTTTTAGTCGATCGAAACGACGGGACGAGAAGAGAGAGGCATGAAACGAAACGAAACGAAACGAACACCGTCGAGGTCCATTGTTGCGTACCGTGGAGTGCATAATTAATGACCTTCGTGCCGGTCGAGTTTTGCATTGCAAATGTTACTTGGAAACGTTGGCGCACGCTATTCTCTTCTCTCTCTCTCTCGTTGCATAAATAAACGCGCGCGCATCGGATCCGTTGCTCGCTCGGCTCGTCGTACACGCGCTATTCGCTACACCGCGGCACAATAAACATCGCAAGAGTTTCTGGTTCGAGAGGACCGCGCCGTCAAGCCGTTTCGCTTTTCATCTGGAAGCGATCTCGGTCGGCGAGCTTTCTCAAAAATATCCCGAGTATCTCGTCTGCCAGTCTCTCCTAGTTCCCGTCGCTATCTTTAAAAGGGTCAACGAACGAAGGTCGTAAAACAAACGAAAGTGGAGACGCAAGAAACTAGTGCGTTTCGAACGAAATCATTCAGGAACGGCTGCATTTACGTATTTCCGACACGCTACTCGCCGCGTGATTCTCGGAAAGTGCCGAAGGCGGTAGTAGCTTACGAAGCCAGAGGCGGCAGACGGAGAGATACCCGTCGCAAGGTTCCACGAATCAGTGGTGAGCAAAAAAAGGCCACGAGCACAAATCGGGCCAAGTTCTCTCTCGATCGCACAGCCTTCGAACCGCTCTAGTAACGTTATTTCCTCCCGCGCGAGCTGCTCTTGCGAAACGAATAAGGCTTCGGTGAAGAGAATTAGAAAAATAGGATAAAAGTTGCGTGACTTTGTTTTCGGTACGACTGGCCGAGAAAAGTATTTATCGTTGTCCGGTTTGCGCGCACACGCTGCCCCGTTACGTACTATCGACCACGCCAGATAAACGTTATCGCATTGTAAATAAAAACGCCATTGATCGTTGAGCCTCCGCGATGGAGATTCTGACTACGTAATTGTGGGATCTCAGAAAAATCGACGATCTTTTATAAAGATAGATAATTGACGAGACTGACAGTTGTCGTTGCTGTTGTCTTTGTCAAGGCTAGCAGTCGTCGACGAGACTCGAAAAGAGACGGACGTGTTAATTTCGTTTCATATAATAAAGTCTAATTGCCCCTAAAGGTCTAGCTACACAGACGTAACGGTACCGCAATGGGAACTTAATGGGAACGTCGGTCTCCGTAGGGCGAAGAACGTAATTTGCAGTGTCATAGTCTTTAAGATAGTGGTGGGACGTAGGTAGTGGACCCTAAACAGCAGGTAGTCCAAGCAGAGTCTAGGACAAAAACGTGTAAAAATAGGGAAGCTCTGGGGTCCACGTTTGATATCGAAATGGCAGGCGTCACGTCTATGTAGACGTACCGTCACGTGTTGCAGTGCCGTCACGTCTATGTAGCTAGACCTTAAAAAGTAGCTCACTTATCGCTTAAAATCAACTTTATTCTGCATGTTCTTTGCGTTTAAGATTGCAAATAATTATTTTCGTCCACCCTCGCACTTCGCGGAGTACTTTTCGTTGCGCATTCGTCGAACGGGAACAGACACTGACCTTTCCGATCGATACGGGACGAGTCGCAAGTCCTAAGTCCAAGGTCCAACAAACGCGTAGTTTTCGTCGTCCGTTTAGAGCTAACGCGCTAACTGCTCGCAAACAACGATATCGTATTTGCGAGTCGCGTCGCGAGCGGGCATGCGCGCGTGCTTTATCGGCACAGAGATATACGTACTCGTGGCGAACGATGAATCGATCCAATTTTTCTGGAAGCCTCTCCGGCGAGTCGAGCCAATCGTCAAAACTCGAATATCGCGCGAGCTTTAAGCGGAACAGAATGGGTTAGGCCGATAAGCTGTTTTACGGGAACTTATTTATGCGGTGACGAACAAGGAGGAATTCACCGGGGCAAGACTCGAAACGCGGAAGAAACCAAGTCACGATTCAGAGCTATCGATTTAAAGAGTTCGTAGAGCCGTCCGTACGGAACGAAAGCTGGCAAACGACTGGCAGAACATTTTTCATAGGGCGGAAGGGCGCAGGTAGACTCTCGTTTCTCCACTCGAAAGGATCCCCCCGCGTGCGCTGTATGTACTAACCGTGGCCCTTCACTACCGGTGTGCTCAACGTCCCTTTGCGAGTCTCCAAAATCGGGTTCCATGCGGTAACGGTGTGTATCAATGTATCCGATTGTCGAACAAAGACAACGTTTGTTCGCCTCCACAATTTTATGATCGTAATAGAAGGAATTCCGCTGAACGAGGCTGTTATCGAAATCGATGGAAAACGTTGCAGAAAAATGAGCGTTACGATGTGTCGAGGCGTAGATAACCGGACGACGGTCGAGGGGTGAAAGAGAAATGAGAATCGCTGAATGCACGGAGGGTCACAGGTTTTGGGCGACCGTCAGGCTTGCTACGCGCACAAAAGGCAGGTGCTGGAATGCATCAGTTCCGTTCTCCCCTTCTCCCTCTCGTACTCAGCATCCCTACCTACCCGTATCCATTGCTCCGAGCACTGCCCTGGGAACCCATCCATTCTTCTTCTTTCGACGCGACGAACCCGATCGCTCTGCTCGATAATCCTTATCTCGGATCCAACAGCGGAAACTTTATTTTTCGGAAAACTTCCGTTCCTCGACTTTGTGTGTACTTAATTATCATGGAGCGAACGCTTTCGGCAGAGTTTGGTATTCGATTCAATTTCACGAAGCGATAACGAGGATATGGAAGGTTTGGAAAATTTTCAGTTACCGCCCGGCGGCGTACGTCAAGTGCGCGGAACGTTAGTCGAAAATTTCGCAAAGGGAATTACCAGCAGTTGCCGAACTGAAACTGCGGTTCCTCCCACGAGCCGCGAGAAGCTAAATCGTTTGCGAGACCGAATTTCTACAGCTTCGTTCCGTACTCGACTCTGTTTGTTCGCTATCGATTCGCAAACGAATTGGACTTTGCTGAGAGATACATGGATACTCTCTGCCTCCGGGTCAAAATCCTGGTTCGCGTCGAGCGAGTGGAGGATATAACGTTCAACGTCGATCTCGTTCCGTCTTCGTTGTTTTGCCTCCCCCTTTCGGTTACTACCACTCGAACAAATCAGTACGGATTTTCAACGCGTCTCGCTCGAGATCCGCGGCTACTTCCACGAGAAGAAGCGACTGATTGTGCTCGTTCTCGGAATTATCGTACAAGTACAGAGCATAGACGCGTCGCTAAGTCGCGTCGCCCTTGGACGTTGACTTGCATAATCGAGTACCGCACTGTCAAGTATTTAACGTCGGTACATTAACTAAACGTGGGACAAAAGTATCGTCCTTGGGTTTTCTCTTCACCAAATGTAGCAGAAGGCACAGCAAGAATGAGTATCGACGGAAAAGCTCGGAGGTGATTAAAAACGCGGGGACAAGCAATAAAGGCTCACTAACCTTTTGTTGCGCCACCCTGAGGGATTCCTCGAAGTGTTTGTGAACTGCCTCTTCGACCGCCCTCTGCTTCTCGAGCCTCTCCATTTCCACATTGGCCCCTCTCTCCCGTTCACGCTTCTCCAGCCGGGCTTCCGCTTCTCGTCGTTCCCTGAAAAACATACAAAAGTTTCAAGGTTGCGCGTGATCCTCGATCCAGAGACTCTCCTCCGCCCGCGATTATTTGTTCAATTTTACTCCGATCGGGCAACGCCGAGTTTCGTGAAACGATCCAGGGGCGAAGACGGAACACGCTTCACGGAACGTTCCGCTTCCAAGTCGGAATAAACAGGAAACGCGAACGGCTCAACGGTGTGCGTACCGGCGTAGACGGCTTTGTACGCAGACACGTCTCGCGACTCACACGCGTCAGAAGGATGACCTAATTGAAAAACAATACGACTGCCTTAGCTAGGTGGAAAGCTTTCCGTTAACGCGTCGAGATATTCCGGCCAATCTGAGCTTCACACCTAGGCAGCGCCATACTGTTTTGCGTGGGTTCAATCGAGTCACGTCGACGAGTCGCGAGACCTGTCGTCTACACGACCGTGAACGCCGAATAAGTATGACTCGTCGTCTTCTCGTTTGCTCTTTCGGCGAACGCCTCCCCTACGAAAAGTCTCGCAAAGAATGTTTCGTATTCAAAGAATGATGTACGCGTTGGTGAACCAACGTTTTCATGCTGATTTTTATGCATCTACGTACCCATGTATTTACGTGCTCGCGTTTCTTATAGATTTATCGCGACCACTCCTATTTTCGATCGTCCAGCGCCTAGCCACCGTCGATCGAGGTAAACACACGAGTACGATACCACGCGATAAAAGCGTGGGCGAGAGCGAGGACGAACAACTGGCCTGTCATTGCGATTACGTATCACTGCTTCCACCGTTTCCTCGTTCCACGCTATCCACTGCGAAGATCGCTCTAGAAATGTACGGTACGCGCCAAGCAGTTGAGGAAAACGAGACTGAGGAAAGAAATCCGAGGAAAAAAGTAGAACTCTAAACTGAAGATGGTGTGATCGAGCGCACACGCCGACCGCGCGATATTAAAAGAGAACAGTGCGATACGTAACAGCGACGACGACGGTGGATGGCTGGCTGGCGTGTTCGTGACTTTTTAACGGGCTCAACCAGATAAGCATTCATTAATGCTTGCGCAAGTTATTTATACTGTTACGTGTGCAACGCCGCGTGTTTATCTCGGTTCTCCGCCGGCGGACCTTACAACGCGGATCTCCGCGATGCGATAAATACGCCTATACGTATACAATTACCAACGCGGGTGTATTCTCCACCGTCTACGCAGGTACATGCATATTTATTGCTAGTTCGGGGAGCGTCTGCCCTCCGTACAACATCGCATCGTCCATTGAACGATAGCTAAAATCATTCTCGGTTATATAAGCTTTAGAGTTTCTCCCGTGCCGAGAGCAAATAAGACGATCGTACATTCTTCCAGTAAACGTTATCACGAAGTTCGATGACGAAAGCTGTCCAAATATTTTTATCTCGCTGTACGCTTTGCGATACGGTCTACGATTCGGAGATACGAAGATTATGAGACAAAAAATTACTTATCGCTAAACGTGATCGATCTCGGTACATATATATTTATTTATCGTTCCAGGAAGGAGAATCTTCGTGAATAGGAAATTCGCTTAGCCGAGAACAGGTAGAAAAACGATTGAGTCGCGACACGATAGAATGCGAGTAAGTAATGAGGCGAATATGGTGTCGTTATTAACGAGCGCGCAATGGGACGTAATGCACGCGATTCAGCACGCTTGGGAACAAGAGAAACAAGCCGACGAGTTTTCCAGGAGATATCGGAACGAGAACGAGAACGAAAAGAAACGTGCGTGCACTCGTGTATACCTACATACATACATACATGCATGCATGCATGTATGTATGCGCGACTTATTGTTACGCCTAGACGGGAACGAAACGGTACGAGAACCAGTTTTCCGGATCCGTGGCGATCGACATCCTTGAAACGTGGCTCGTTTGCACGGTTCCTCGTGGCATATCAATCAAGTGTGTATAAAACAATGCGCGTATCAATTTAAATTCGTGTCATTCCATCGTACCCTAGTACACGCGTGTGTTTCCTTTCCCATTTCCATTCTCATTCACGCTCTTTGTTACAAATTCCTAACAAATGTGGAAGGAGGGAGAACGAGGAAAAAACCGGACTCAACTCTTTTCAGCTCTCGTCATCGGTTTACAAGTTGCAGTTTAAGCACTTTAAAATCGATCCGCCTCGTTGGCGAACTTTACATTTTATGATTACAGTTTTCTATGTCACGGATGAAATTCGGTCGCTATAAAATAGCAGGAACAAAGAGTTGAACGTAGAGATTATTCTATGCTAATTTGCACGCTATTCCTCTGGTATTCTCTTCTCCTCAAAGCGCATCGTTTATTAAAAGTCACAAACTTTTGGTAATCGAGAAAGAAGCATGTAAACGTGTTTGGCAAACGGAATGGAAGAAAGGAGGACGGTCTGGACGAGATAGGGGAGGAGGGGACGTTCTCTTTAGCGACGCATCCTTGAAAAAAAATCGAGCAAAGGAGCGGCGAAGAGGCAGTGTAGTACGTCGCGTTGGTCGATAAACCAGTCCTAATGCCGTACGCTATTTATGTAGGTATGGGAACGAGTCGCGGACGGTGTTTAAAAAATCCAGTCCCCGGACGAAGACCGGATTGACCGGCTCTCCATCGGCCGACTCACGGCAAATAATACGTATCGCCAAAAAAGGCCTTACGCATCCTTAACTCCCGAGTCCTTTTCTTTTCTTTCGAACCACGCACTACTATTTTATCTCCTCGCAACGTCTAGATCGCGCCGCACGTTTCGACGCGTCCTACGCGTTCTTCTGTGCCTCTCGCGATCCTCTACGTTTTTGCCGACGGCTATCGCCACGGGAAACGAACGGGCATTCTCTCTATTTCGTGAACCTACTTTTGCTTTCGTTTCGAACGTTCGAATGGATCGACGAAACGAATAACTTAGCCCGTCGACCTATCGAGAGTACTTGACCACAGCTTTCCTGTTTACAGGAAGGAACTACGAGGCGGCTGGGAAATGCATAATTATTAGTATTGAAAGGAGTAAGTGCGAGGCGATGCAACGCCGTTGTATGAATTGCGGTTCAAGGCCGACCGTAAATAGTTGATAAACTCGCGACGGTAAAAGCCAAGGCGAGACGTCGTTCTCGGATAATTTGTATCGATAGAGCGGCTAGGCTGGAAATAGAAATTCCGCAACGAGCACAGTGCTTAAAGTCCGTAACGCATAGGAATTCTTTGTCGAGCGACACGCGCTGCTGCTTTGTCTTTGTGCAGTAACTACCTAAGTACCTACGGTACGCGCGTAATCCCTTCGCGCTATTTCACACGTTCCCGCCGCGCCGCCGCTTAATAATTTGTAGCGGAACGACGTGGAATCGAAGGAGCTGCGCGCCTACGTGGCCACTTACTAAAAGGGCAGCGTAAGTACATCGTCGTTATTATCGCGTGTCTATGTTCACGGAGCACGATAAAAAAAAAAACGGTCAGTCACGAATTCATTGAATATGGAGCACGGACGGGTAATGACGAAGTAGTCGCGTATACGCGTGTCGACGGCTTTATCGGTTCTCGATAGACCGAAATACGATACGGAGGGTAAGCGCGAGAGAATGGAAAAAGTTAGCTGGACGGGGAACAAAAAGAATGGGCGTAACCGCGATCGCGAAATAAACTTTTACGAGGGAAGCGGCAAATTCTTTTTTATCTTTATTCCCCTGCTTACGCACGTATCGCGAGCCAAATTAACGCTTATATTCTTACGCTTTCTGCACTCACCGTCGCGCCGCACCGTGCGATTATCATGATTTCTACGTGACGTAATTTTACCGCAGGAGCAGACAGAAACGTGTGCACCGACAAATAGGTATGTGGTTGCCTGTACGTGGAAGACTGGGAGAGGCGGAGAGGAACAGAGGGACAGCAGGGAGCAGGGAGGAGGGAAAGAAAAAGGAGAAAAGAAAGACGAGAAACGAGTTTTCGCAGTGCACACGTGGCCGGTTTTCACGGAGCACGGAGCTGGTTCTCACGGACAGACGCACACGTTCGCGCGAACCGATGCATCATTCGGACAGGTTTACTCGCTTGCCTACCTACGCGAACTTCGCGAGCGGCTGCAAGCCTCGATGTAACGGGTATATACAGTATACACACACCGGGTGAGCCACCCCGCGTGCCGCGTTTTCTGAATCTATTAAAAACGAACGCCTCACGACCTTGCGCTCGTACGCGTTCTATGGCTACTCTCGTTTATTATTCGAAGAACGTCGCACAGCGCCGAAACTGGAAACCGACTTCAAACGAAACATCGTGTGATACAGAATCGATCGTAATTCTAGCCCGGAGATTCGTCGTCAAAACGTAGAACGTGGCATGGCGTAACTATCGTATGAAATCGCTGCGTCTCGTCTTCGTCGTTTACTCGTTCCGCTTCCTCTGGTTTATGTCTAGCGGGTTATATAAAGGTTGATCGATTAGCGATACGGCGCGAACTTAATTATCGTATTTATACGAGACGCTTGTTTTCTTTTCACCGCCGACTGAAATCTTTGAAACGAGGAATAATCTCGCGATCGAGGCCGGTCGATGTAATGCGAGATCGACGGATCGACGAACGTTACGTTCGGACCCTAACGCGTCTGCGGACGTTGGACGCAGGATGTTGACTTCGGCCAATTTGGCATCGACGTTATTTCTGAACGGTGTTCAACGTATTTCGCGACATCCATAATTGCTACCGCGGCTATCTTTAGAGATGAAACGTATGCGTGAAACATTCTCGACGCGATATCGGACGGAGGCTCAGGAAAAATTCGAGGCAACCGGCAGAGTGGAAACCGGTTATGCGTAATAGTCGTTGGCCGTTCCACAGTTCCCGGAACGCTCGACGGGAACCTCCCGCTCGGTCTTCGACGAGTGTTGGTCGCTCGTAAAATCGCTGTCGCCCGCAGGACGCGCGACGCGTTACGTGCCAAAACGTCTTATAATACCTACTATCTTCGCTCTATTTTTACCACACCGAAACGGAGGAACGCTC